ATTTTTCCACTTGACAGGTTAGAGTAACATTTTCCAAAGTGTGGCAGGGGAACACCACTAGCTCCAGGACGTGCTTTGTGCATAAAGGGTTCCATAGTCACCCAGTGTGAGAAATGTTTTATGCTGATCATGCCAGTCCTCCCAAACCTTAGGTTTATTAGCACATCCAAGTCACTGAGGAGTTCTCTAGTAAAGGAGCTTAATTACCTTTGTTCAAGTGGGCTTTCCCATACCTAGGTGAATTAGTGTTTTTGTTTTGGGGGGGAGTTTTTGTTTCACATATTACATTTTACTTAAGTGTTTAGTAGAGTATTCTTCATTCCTGAAGCATTGGATTAAAGACTTAAACTCAAAAAAGTAAAATAGTAAATAGAACTGATTGTATCTTGGGATGGTAACTTTCTAAGCTTTAAAATCTCTTTCCAGAAAAAAATCTCATAGGAAAAACATGACACAAATCTGACTATATCCATTTTTAAGACTCAATATGTAAAAATAAAGATGAAAATATTTAATAGGCAGTCAGAAGGAAAAAAACTCTGAATTAGATGTGATAACAAAGAAGGACCTTGCTGTGTGACATCACAAGTTCATGCACAGCAGGCATTTCCAGGCACCTGGCACAGTTGTCACTGAACAGTTAATATTTGTTGATTAAAAACCCAATGATAAATGGGCAAAGGCAAGGCATGGACAATTCACACTTAAGCAAATTAAAAAGTAAATGCTAAAAAGAAAAAGCAAGCATTTACAAAAGGAATGTGAAGAAATTATGCTGTACCCATTGAATTAATAAAGAAAAAAAGTAGATTTAAAAAAAATATATGATCTTAGAACTACAACTGAATACAAGTCAATGGGGACAGTCTTTTCTGGAAAGCAATATGGCAACAATTATTGAGATCCATAAAAGGGCGCCGACCTTTTGGCCCAGTAATCCTACCCCAGGGAAGTGATCCTAAAGAAATAATCCAGCCGAAGAAACAAATCTCCGTGCAACCAGAATGTAAAGTAGAGTAAGTGGGTCAAGCAGAGTGGGTGGGCTGTTCTCCTTTATTTCTGTGAACTCATTCACTTTTACAGCTTTTTCTTTAATTCCTTAAATAAGTAAAAGAAGCAACTGCTCCTTTTCCTGCCCCGGGGCCAGCTGTTACTGACTGAGCATTTCCTCTGTGCCAGGCGCGGGGCCAAGCGCTCTCTGTGCAGCATCTCGTAAACTCTTCACCTCCTCATGGCAACCTTGAGGTTGGTACTGATACTAAGGAAGTTCACCGATGCTGATCTAGGTGATCTAGAGCAGTATCTTCAACTGTAAGGGAACAGAGGGCCCCACGGGCCTGGCCAGGATTCAGGTGTTGCTCTCAGAACAGCCCTGGCACGTGGGAAGAGCCCTGGACTCCGACTTCAGCCCTTGGTGCTGACTCAGCGGCGGAGGGCTCTGTGGCGGCAGACTTGGTGAGCGGGCCTGTTGGGCACTCAGGGCAGCAGGAACTCTGGCTGAGGTCTAGGTGGCATTTTCCTGGTTTTGTGCAGCAGGGCATGTCCTGAAGGGGACTTTCTTTGGGCGTTCTAGATCATCAGGGCCTCAGAGCGCCTGACAGGACAGCTTCAGGTTGGGAACTCAGCAGAGGTCTCCGTGCACACTGGGAGGCAACGTCTGTTTGTCTCTAGTTTTCTGATCTCCCAACCTCCCTCCAGACACCCAGCCTCAGCTCCGGAGCCCACGTCTCTCCTGCCGCCTGCTGGCAGGTGTGTTAGTTTTGCTTTAGTTTTGCGATGGGCTTGGACAGCTTGATGCGGCCTGGCCCCTGTGACTCAAGCCTGCTCTCGCACACGGCGTCCCAGCCACGCTGGGCTCCTCCCTGTCTTCGGGCCTTTGTACTGTCTGTTCCCTCTGCCAAGAGTGCCCTTCCCCAGCGTCCATGTGGCTGACCCTGCCTGTTATTCAAACCTTTGTTCCCATGTCTCCCTCCCAGTGCAAGCTGCCTGTAACACTGCAGCCTGCACCCCCAGCCGTCCTGACTAGACAGTTTTCCATAGCATTTGTCGCCTTCAACCTATCATATAACTTCCTTACTGATCATGTGGATTGTTTATATTTCCCCTTGCCAGAACACAAGCTCCTCAAAGGCAGAAAACCTTGTTTCTTTTGCCCACTCATAACCCCAACAGATGGCGCAGTGGTTGGCACCTCCTAGGCCCTCAATAAATATTTGTAGAATTAATAAAGGAGGGGCAGGCCCTGCATTCTGACCTGGACCTCTGACTGAGGAGCCTGCGCTCAGCTTGGGCTGGGGAAGGGCTTGCTGGCACCAGTTCATGGCTCAGGAGGAAGAACCTGGAGAGAATTAACACGCTGTCTGTCCTGACACCGTCGATAGACTGGGAGAAGGGAGTTTTGGTTTTGCTTCTATTTTGCCTTCCAAGGGGCATGATCTTAAGTTTTCTAATCCGTAAAATGGGGTTAATAGCAATATACACGAGAACATGTTGTCTCCCTTGGCTCGGGGGGAGAGTGGAAGGGTCTCCAGAGTTGGGTCTAAACAGGAAAAATTCCCCCAGCAGAACTGGGACGAGGGTCCGCACCCTGACTCTACAGCGGGGTCTAGCCAGCAAAGGGCCTCTGGACTCGGCTGCTGGGACCGGTGTGCAAGGACAGGCATTTCCCGGGACACTGCCTGGCTCTGGCCCTGGAGGCTGATCATCCACCAGGGAGCCGGTGTCCGGCCAGAGCACCGTGAGGAGGCCGAGATGCTCGGCTCAGAAGAGGCTGGCTTCCGTCCGGGAGGCCGGGGGCAGCTGGCCAGGTTGGTGCTGGGTTGCACCTCCTCCCCTGGCAGCCCCTATGGCCACAGATAACTTAGGGCAAAGTCCATGACAAACAGCAGCCAGGCCCGGGGCAGGCGGCGCAGGGGGCGCACCCTAGTCCCTCACCTGGGGCGCTCTGTGTCCCAGCAAGGGCCCATCCAGCTGACTCACCGGGCGGCCCTGGCTCAGTTGCTCTCTGGACTCCGTGTTCCTCCACTCATGCGATGAAGATGATAATCCTGTCCTTCAGTTGCCAGGATGTTGGAGGTGATGGACACAAAGTGTTAAACAGGCACATGGGCACTGGATGATGAGTTGGTGTCATTTTGTCATTGCCTTTTAGTCACTGCCATTACCAGAACTAGCCCTCCCAGTATGGGCATGTAAGCAGGAGCCCTCAGGAATGAAAAGAGGCGTCTAGAAGTACAAGCTTGAGGGGCGGCACGGAACCTCAAAGACCCAGCTGTGGCCTGGACCTCAGGGGCAGAGGAGGGGACAGCAAAGCCTCCTTTGGGGCCGTTTGCTGGGTGAGGTGTTGATCAGAGAGAGCACCAGGTTCTCCACAAAAGTCTCTACCTCCCAGCGGCCCCTCCCCCAACCCAGTCCCTCCTACGGATGTCCAGGATCCACTGGGAGAGATGCTGGTCCTGAGGGGTCATCAGTCAGCCATGTCCCCACCCCTCCAGAAGCCCAGGAAGCCACTCAGAGCCCCCACCCTGTCCACCTCTCCTCCATGCTGGACAAGGGTGTTCCGTGCAGGTCTGGCTGGCTGCTGAGCTGTGGGGGCCATGGGTCAGGTGCCACTGCAGCCCCACACAGGTCACCTCTGCCTGCAGCGGCCCCATCCTGCCCGGCAGCTCTTGACTCCCTCACTCCCTCTCACCCAGCTGCACATTCTCGGCCGTTAGGTCTCCTCAGCAGTCTCCCTCTCTGCTCCGCATGGGTCCTACAGTCTAACTTCCACTCTGCAACTAGAACAATCTTTCTGTGATGCTAATCTAAGGAGGTCAGGCCCAATGTTCTGATTCTTCAGTGGCTGCCCTTGGAGTCAGTGTGCTCTTGGCCTTGCCTCTCAAGGCCTATTTGGGTTGATGGTAACACCATCATTTCCTGCTGGTTTCTTTTATATCCTGCCCTCCAGCCATGCGGACTTATTTTCTGTTCCCATGTAGATGGCAGTGCTTCCCCACATTGCTTTTGCTCGCAGGAGTCGCCCCTGGAGCACCACCGTTCTTTGCTCTGTGTGTTCAAACCCTACTCTTCTTCAAGCCTCATTAGGGTAGTGCCTTTGACACCGAGCATTTCCTGCATGAAGTCGGATCTCCATCCCCTTCCGCCCTGTCTGGGCTTCACTCTTAGGTGGCCTACTTTATAATGTAGACATTTGTGAATGTGCTTTATCTCCCCTGTGAAACAGAAAGAGATCCCTGAAGGCAGAGACCATGGCTGATTCACCTCCAAGTCTCTAGCACAGGCCTGGTTCAGTAGCATCTGTTGACTGTATAAGTATTTGTACATGCAGCTCACAAGCACACATACCTGTACTCAGATATAAGTCAGGTACAGAGTCAGGTCTCTGTTATAGTAATTTTGTGTAACAAGCCTCCAAAATCTCAGAGACTTGTAGCATTTCTTTTTTCTTTTTTTCTTTTTCTTTTTCTTTTCCTTTTTTTTTTTTTTTTTTGCCCAGGGGTCTGTGGATTGGCAGGGTGGCTCTACTTCAGGCTGCAGGTCTAAGGGTGGCCTGGGCTCACATGGAATTGGCCAGGCTTCAGGCCATAGGTTGGCTATCGATCTGCTCCATGTGTCTGCAATTGGGGATCAAGGCATAAAAGGCAGTGCCCATCTGGAGCAAGCTCTTCTTATGGCAACTAGCAGGAGGGTGGGTGGACTAGCCCAACAGCAAGGCCACTTAAAGCCTCCAGTCACATTATATCCACTAATTTCCACCGGTCCAAACGAGCCTCCTGGTCAAGCCCCATGTCCATTGGGCAGGGAGGCACCTCCCACCTCCTGTGGTGCAACAGGTGGCAAGATCACAGGGCAAAACACAACTCTGTTATGGGTGGGAGTGCAGAACTGGGGGCAAGTTCCAGCCCCTGCCAGCAGCCTGCCCAAACCTCTGCTGGGGAGCAGCTGCCCTGTGGGGCTGTTCGTGCCCACCATCTCTCTAGACCCTCTTCTCCTCTCAGCAGATGAGCCAACCTCTCCCAAGAAGCCCAAGAGCATCCCGGACCCAGAGCCTGGCGATGTGGAAGGCAAAGCCACCGTTCCCCCGCCCGCCGAGTGGACCTCTGTGAGGATCGGCCCCGGGGAGGACGTGGCTGGGCAGGACGTGCTGGCTGTGTGCGTCTTGGTCACCAGTGATGACAGGTATACTCAGGCTGCTGTGGGATGGGGGCAGAATGGGTTCAGAAGGGGCCCACAATCAGAAGCTGGTCTTCTCTCTGCTGACTTGCAGTATGACCTCTCTGTGCCCCCATTTTCTCATCTGTAAAATGGAGACAACCACAGCACCTGTTTCATAGGGTACAAAAGATCGAAGAATTAATAGGCAAACTGTAGAGCAACTCAAACTAGCTTAAGTAACAAAGGCAAATGCATTGGTTTGTCTGGTGGGCAAGTGCACGGGCGGCACCCACTTCAGCCACGGTTGGAGCCAGAGGCTCGGATAGCTGCTCTCCCTTGTTGCCTCACTGCACAGTGGTTTAGGGAGGTTGCCTCCTTGTGTGGGCCTCCTGGCTGCTGAGGGCCTCGGCCCCATCCATAAATTCATACCCATACGCCAAGGTCTCAAGGCAGGCCTGCAAAGGGGGCCATGCATGTCACATGCCCACCTCTGGGGCTGACCAGTGAACAGGACTGGGGTGGTGTGACCAGTGGGCTTGGACATCCTGCTGGATGGACAGTCCACCAAAGCCCACAGATGGATAAGGGGCAGTAACCTAATAAAAAGAAGCACACTGATGTATATACTCATACACACACAAACGCGCGCGCGTGTATATATGTGTGCATATATAAAGAGTAAATATATGAGGACAGACCTCATATACATAAACACAGCCCCAGTATACATATATACGCATGTATACATATACCTGCGTATGTGTATATATAAAGAGACAGAGAGAGAATAAATATATGAAATAGAGAGATACATATTTACTAAAATGTCACCACCCAATAGGTTTTGCGCTTTCTCACCCTGGGGCCCCACTCGGGCCCTCCCTACTGCTTCGGACACCCTGCTCCAACTTCTCTGCCATGTGAATTCCTGCTGGTCATCTAAGACCCGCCTTAAATACTCCCACCGCCCCCACCCCCAGGCAGTCTTTTCCATTCCCCCATCCATTCCCAAGCCTTAAATGTCTGAAGGTTTAGGACCAATACTTGGCTGCACATTTGCGGGGCTGCTTTCTCCTGCTCTGATCCACACCTGTACCCGTTTGCTCAGACTGCCATAAAGTACCACGGGCTGGGTGGCTTAAACCACAGAGATTTTTTTCTCTCAGTTCTGGAGGCTGGAAGTCTGAGGGCAAGATACTGGCTGGGTTGGTTCCTTCCGAGGGTGTGAGGGGAGGATCTGTTCCAGGCTCCTCTCCTTACTTTATATGTAAATGGCTATCTTCACAGTCGCATGACATTTTCCTACTGTGCCCATCTGTGTCCTAATCTCCTCTTCTCGTAATGATACCAGTCATATTAAGTAAGCCCCACCCTCATGACCTCATTTTAACTTAATTTTCTTTTTAAAGACCCTGTCTTTAAATGCAGTCACATTCTGAGGTACTAAGGGTTAGGACTTTATATGCATTTGGTGGGACACAGTTCAGTCCATAACAAAGCCTGAGGCTGGTGCTGGGTACAGAGGTAGCTAAGCACCTCCACCCTGCCCTTGAACCCCATGGTCTGCTGGAGGCAGAGGTGGGCAGAGCGCACTGTGGCTTCCGGGAATGAATGGCAGGGCTCTTTGGTCACCCACTGTCTCTCCCTTCCTTCCAGCTCTGATGAAGAGTTGGACTGTGCTGGCCACAGCGAGGTCTCCGTTGCAGAGCCCTGTGAGGAAAGACCCCAGCAGCCACAACCCTTACTCCCAATGAAGCCCCTTGCTCGCCACAGCTCCCTGAGGGAGACCCTGGCCCGGACATTCTCTGCACAGTGTCCCGAGGAGCCCAGCACCCTGCATGGTGAGCAGAGAGCCCTCCCGCACGGGAGGCCCAGGTGATAGGCAATACGGCACACAGGCCCAGAGGCAGTGGGGCTGGGGCTTCAGGGGGTTCGGGTGCACGTAGGGGTAACCCAAGATGGCCTCCTTCTTCATGGGAAGCTTTGGAATCTCAAATAAGGCGGCAGCTAAGGAGCCCGGCTGCCCTTGTGTGTCACAGGCAGGCAGATATGAGGTCGCCCCAGGACCCTCTTGCTTGGAGTGGTCTCCTTCTTACCTCCTTTGTATCTCCAACGGGGCCCCTCTTGCATTCCACAGCCCATCAGGGGAGACAGTGGGCTCAGCTGCTGTGGGACCACATGCAGGCCCAGGTAGCACAGCTTCCCTGGGGCTACTTGGGGGCCACACAGGGCCATAACTAGTACTTGAGGCTTGTGGGATGCAGTAAACCTACCTACATGATAATAAATGCACTTTCACTGAGTAGTCCGAATGGGCAGAGGTTTTCCCGTACATGGGTCACCCTCAGACGACCCTGTGAGGTAAGTGTTGTGAAGCCCAGTTTACAGGTGAGCAAATGGACTGCTTGCTTTCCTGAGGGCTCCCAGCAGTAAGCAGCGTGGCCAAATGCTGGGTGTCTCTGCACCCTAAGAAGTAGTTGTCTTTAGAAACCCAACTTGTTTTCATAAAGGTGGCTTGAATGAGTGTTTTAATTCGGGCCAGAGCTTCGTGAGGTCTCTGGGTGGGAAGAGCAGGCTAATAGACACTCGCCACCAGCAGGACGGATGGCCTTCCTTGGTGGGCCCGGCAGAGCGGGAGCTCAACTTGTCCTGTGCTGCCCTCTGGTGGTGGAGAGCAGACTCTCCACCTGGTCCTGGAAATGTTCTCATGGGGGATGGTTTCACAGGAACCTCCATGAAAAAGCTGTGGGCCAGGAAGGCCAGGGCTGAGGCTGGAATCCTGCAGACTCTGAGTTTACCACTACCTCTGAGCCTTTTTTTTTTTAAAGGACACATTTGCTAAGTACCATCTGTGGTGCTGTCCAGAAAGGCTTAGCACTTGCAGTGAGGCAAGTGCTGTGCTGTGCCCAGCTGGGTGCAGCCTGCCTCTGTCTGGGTCCGGCTGGCCTGGATCGGCCCTTCTGTCTCCCTGGACTCCAGCCTCCTCGTTAAGGAATATGAAGCCTGCCTGCCTTTCCTCCCTTCCCCTATTTCTCCTCTCTCCTCAGTTGCCAGGAGATTTTAGGCGACATATGAGAAAGACATAAGACAAAATTGTATGTCTATATATATGAAAGATAAAGTCTCAAGATAAGAGTTAACAAAAGCAGTTGAGAAAGTATAGACCCCAGAGAGAATATCATACTCCTAAACAGTTGGTCTAGTGGAATCATAAATTTGATTCTGAATTTCCTGGCAGCCAGCATTAAAAAGGAAATACACAGTTTTTATTCTTATTGTTCATGAGGGGAAAATATATTGCTTTACAGCAGCAGGTCTTGGTGCACGTACCACTTTTTCTAATGCTTTGCTCTGGAGAAATTTTCCAGCTCATGTCAAATAGATGATACTGAGAGATGTATTAGATAGGTCTTGAGCAATGGCTCTGCAACACGTACAGCCAGAGCCTTCCTGAGGCTGTTTCATTCAGCATCCCTTACTGACAGGTGAGGCCATGCCAGCTAAACAGGAAGCAGTTCTCCCTGGGGAATGGGGTTGGGCTGAGGGAACAAGGCAGTGTGGCCAAAGCATTTTGTTTCGGACAGCCCAGTTTCATTCTGGAATAAAATATAGAGCAGAACAGAGGCAGGGATGGATTGCGTGACAGTCTTCTGTCAATTTTGTCCTCATCCATCATGGTTCTGAGCACTGCAAAGCAAACCACATTGTAAGGTTAAAACCTCTGGTGCGGTCTAAGTGCTGTGCTTTGTGTTGCTGGTTGTGGTGAGTCCATGACTTTACCAAATAATGTAGAGTTGGCTTCATGGTGTGGGTGTTAGAGAGCTTTGTTGGTCGCAATTTTCACCTGGATATATGGTTCAGAGGAAAGTCGAGGAAATGCTAGACAAAGCCAAGGTATTGCTTTTCAAAGAATCCTGGTATGTACACCGTACACACGGTAGCACTATTCACGATTGCCAAAAGGGGGAAACGATCCAACTATCCATCAGCAGGTGAATGGATAAACAAATTGTGCTATATCCACACAATGAAATGTTATTCAGCTTTAAAAAGGAAGGAAATTCTGACACATGCCACAATAGGAATGAATCTTGAAGTCATTATGCTAAGTGAAATAAGCCAGACACAAAAAGACAAGTATTGTATAATTTCCACTTCTATGAGATGCTAAGAATAGGCAAATAGAGACAGAAAGTAGAATGGTGCTTACCAGGGGTCAGGGGAGAGGGTAGGTGGGGAGTTGTTGTTTAGTGGGTACAGGGTTTCCGTTTGGGACAAAGAAAAAGTTCTGGAGGTGGATGGTGTGGATAGTTGCACAACAATGTGAATGTCCTTAATACCACTGAACTCTACACTTAAAAATGACTAGAATGGTCATTTTTATGTTATATATATTTTACCACAATTTGGGACTACCCCAGCTCATCAAGGAACCTATCACCTCCTCGAGGTTCTTTAGCGTAGAGCCCAAGGTGACACCCAAGGTGACAGGTTCAAACAGAACTTAAGCCCTGTGTTATCGAGGCCGTAGAAAATGCTCAGCGATGCTCTCCTCAAACACCTAGTTTAGTGGTTCTTAAAGATCTTGTTTAAAAGGCACATTTCTATCCTCCCACCTTGAGAAATCAAGACTTGGTGGGTCTAGAGTGGGGTCACGTATCTGGGGTCACGTATCTGCACTTTCCGTCAGCGCCCCAGAGACTCTCCTGCAGGAGGGCCTAGCGCTTGCTTTGGGGAGCACAGGAAGGGCACTCCCAGAGGCCCGTCTGGCGAGTGAGCTGCAAAATGCACGCCTGGGCAACTACATGCGCTGATGTGGCTCACTGCACTTTTTGGGCATAAACCTGTTAGAGTTAGGAGGACAGTCTGTCTCCCAATCACTCTGACTTAGATAATTTGGTATTTATCCACTTTTTTTCCCTGACAATAATTTGATAACATGGCCCAGTGGTCTGGGGTGGGGGGCACTACTAATTTTTAACAATAAAATGATATCAGCATCATATTGCACAATCCCCTTTAAGATCTCCAAAAACCCTCCCTTAAAATAGATATGAAGAAAAAAAATAAATAAATAAATAAATAAATAAATAAATAAAAAGGCGGGGGAACAGCCCTGCTTTACTCTGCTCAAAATTACCAGGTCAAATCATTACCTACATTACCTGTTGTCCTATTGTGATAAAAATTTGTACATGTTGCCCTGTATACATCATTGATGGAAAAATCCGTCATGAATTTTAGCCATTTCTAATAAGTTCCAATCTACAAAGTTAAAAGCCAAGGAGAAGCGGTAAGAGCTTACAGCATCCTTCTATGCTTCTTGAGTAATTTCTCCATTAGCTGAATACGAGGTTAGCTTTGCTCAGCAGGATGTAGCTGTGCCTGAGGCCTGCTTGCTCCTTGTGCCAAACACCTGGACTGGAAAACCCTGGCCTGCCCTTGGGGGGAGGAAGTGGACCAAAATCGTAGGCAGATCATTCAACCTGTGATGCGCAGACAAGGAGCCTGCACCCTGTACCTGTCCCCGCAGGCCACCCTCAAACCCATGGATGTGACCATGGAAACAGGTCCACGAGATGGGGACCCACCAGTGGGAGCAGACTCAAGGCATCTCTGAGCAGAGTAAGGGAGGGAGGGGTGTACGGAGCGGAAGGGCTTTGTCCTGAGGAAAGGAAGCCCCCAGGCTGACACCCGTGCGGCACAGCCCGGCTGGTAAGAGTTGACCCCCAGCTCTGAGCACCGGCAGGGAAGTGGGTCAGGACTTTGTACAGAGACAGAAAGGGTGGTGCCAGCGGGGCTGTGGGTTCAGAGCACCCTGTGTGTGAGCCTTCCCTATGCTCATTCGCCTGCACCCACAGCACCCCCGTGGCTGCTTCCTTCCCTGCCTCCTGCGAGTGAGTGTTCATGCCTGCGTCGCCCCCATTCTTTCTCTCAAAAATGTGATGGAACCACCACAGGGACCTGGGGCCTGAGGCCAAATCTGAGGGCCCAGTGTGGGGATTTTCTTCCATATCTGATGTTCTTTTTGCTCGGCTAGTTCTTCAGTGCATAGTCTACAGCCTCCTGTACCTGTTCCCATTGGAACCAAGACCAAGAGGATATTCAGGGCAATGGATGGTACAGAGGTTCAGTTGAAACTGGTCCCCAGAGGGTTTCCAGCGCTCTGAGGGGAAGGGGGAGAGAGGATAGAGCTTTCTGCAGCCTCCGGGCTTCAGTGAGAGCAGTCCTGTTTTTATCTATTGCATAAATGGGTCACAAATGTAAGACTTCAGCTCTGCTAAAAACAAGTAAGTGTGTGTATGGGGGCATGCATGTATATGTATATACATGTAGGCAAATAAACGGGTACACATACATATGCTTATTAAGGATGGACAATTTAGAATGATGGCTCATACTATCAGGCACTTTCTGCAAGGTGGCAGTACCTCTCCCATAGCAGGGTCTCAATAAATATTTGATGAATGAATGAATGGGAAATTGAAGGTGTGTGTTGTAGGGATAGGAAGGTACAGTCTGAGGGAAGGACGGGGCTCAGTCAATCTTGATCATTAGCCTATTAACTTTTGGGAAAGGGACCGAAGGAGAAAAACTCCCTATGTTTTCCTACACGTTTAACAGACTCTTCCTCCCTCCCTGTCTTCCCCGCCCCTTTCTTTTTCCCACTACAGCTCTGCAACGGGCCAGCAGCTTCCAGGCTCCATCTACCAGCAAATACCAGAACTGGAGAAGGAAATTGCAGTCGGGTGAGTCATGGGCTCTGGCGGGGGTGGGGGGGGCCGGGGGGGGCGCAGTGGGTGCTCGGGTAGGCAAGAGTTCTCTGATTCATTCTCAGGGGCCGCCATTCTCATTCCTTACATGTCCTGTCTGACCCGGCCTCCTGGATGTGCAGGGCAACGAAAGAAGTATAAGGTTGACCCTATTTCCGCTGTTGATTAGAGGAAGCAGTTCCCAAGGGATCTGGGACCTTCCCTGGCCCCTCAGCTCCCCATTCCAGACTCATAGAGCCTTAGAACTCAGTTACACTTGGAAGGGACCTTATTGCATCAGTTCCAAGCTTTTTGAAACACAGATGAGGACTCTGAGGCCCAGGGTCACTGTATGCTTTGATTCAGTACCCTAGAGTTGAGCTGGAGCTTAACTTCCTGCAGTCATGGGCAAAGCAATGAAGGAAGCCCACCCGCCACACACACACATAGATGCTTGCGAGGAAGTATGCACAAATGTGTAAATACACACAGCTCTGCTCCATTTTTCAGGGCAGGCAGTGGTAGAGCAGGGCGAGTGAGGAACAGGGCCTGCGGTGGATGCCAAAACAGCAGGCTCCCACTAGGGGGCGCAGTGACCACATACACAGTTGCCCAGCATCCCCAGCTGCCCACATTCTGGATGCAGCAGTTACAGAGCAGGGGTTTCCTCTCTGAGCCCAAGAGAGGGGCAGGGACTCTTCTGATTTCAAGTCCATCGCTGCCTCCCACCTCTTCCTGCCCCTCCACACCCTCTCAGGGTCTTGCTCTAGGAGAGATGAACCCAGGAAAGCCTTGGGTCAGGCAAAGTTTTCTAAAAAAGAAATGTTATTGAAGTTGGAACAGAGTGCTAATTTAGTTGACTCCTTCCTTCTGAGTCAGCGCCAGTGAGTCATTCTTTCAGCAACCCCCAGACCTGCAGCCTCTTTCACTGGGGTCAGGCAGGGACATGGGTGCCTCCGGAGCTGGATTGGGGCTGCACACCGGGGCAGGGCACTACACCTGGGACAACCTAAAATAACTCTTGATCAACTTACAGCCCCAGGCGGGTAAAGTAAGGGGAAGGAGCCAGTTACTATTTACTGAAGGCCTGGGCCGGGCCTTTTCCATAAGCCATCTCTTCTACTGCCACACCACAACCCCTCCCCAGTCATGGGACTTCTGTTCCTATGGGTGGGTCTGTTTGGGTGCAGATTCCATCCCAGTGCTTCCTGTCAACTGTGCTGAGGCACAAGCAGAGGGGGGCTGGTAACCACAAGCACGGTTGCCGGGATGGGCCTGGAGACCTCAGCTGTGTCTTCATCCCAGGAGTATCAGGTATTGGTAAAAGGAGGTTTGAGGGCACGCCTTGAGTTCGAGCTATTTCTATGGGCCCAGAGACCCCAAGTCCTTCCTTGCTGAATGAATAAACGAACAAATGAACAAACTTTGGGATGACGAGTGAGCAAAGGAATGAACAAACCAGGGAACAAACAGGCTGGGCTGAGTGCAGAAACAAATGAAGCGCACGGGTTCAGGCCTGTGCAGGCTGCCACCCCAAGAGGGCGCTCCAAGACTTTGGGAGTATTTGGACCATTGACAGAGCTCCAAAATCTGGGAAGCGGCACCCTACAGTCCCAGTCTTTTTTAAAATCCCTAGAGCTGAAAGCCACTAGAGCTACCTTCTTTTGTCATTTTCATTTTGCCCAAGAGGCGAGACTAGGCCTGCCTCAATGGGCAAGATGGGTCCTGTCGTAGAGGGAGGCAAACATGGGGCACCATCTCCTCTGTTCATTCACTGTCCTGAAAAGACTGGTTCTGTATGATTGCCCTTGACACCCTCTTCCAGGTGGCCGTGTTCATTGGAATGACCTGTAGGACCCAGAGGGCCAAGAGGGCAGGCATTGATCCAGATGGGCTGTGGGGCTGTGTGATCCAGGCTCACCAGCCCCCTTTGCACGAAGGGACCTGAAGGACCAGCAGCACCTAGGACTGAGGCCCCTGCACAGGGCAGGGCAGCGCTGGCTGGCCCATGCCAGGGTCTGATGAAAAGAAAAGGTGGCAGAGAAGGACCCGAGATGATGAATGAGGACTTAACGGGTCCACAGGTTAGAGAAATCCCAGCTGGGCTGGGTGTGTGGACCTCTCTGGAATGGGTCCGCGGTTTATTTATTGGATATCACGTGTGTGCATGGGAAGAGGAGAGGGGATGGAATTGATATTTAGCCAGCATGTAGCATTTTGGCATCCTGCACTGGGGACCTCTTTTTATTTTATCTCATGTTATTCCCTCAACCTTCCCGAAGCAGCAGTAGACTTCTTGTTTTCTGGTGGAGGAAACTGGGGAGTTAAGAAACTTGCTCAGTGTCAGGAAGCTGGTGTGGATGTAAAGGAGGTGGGGTTCCAGGCTCCCCTTCACCATTTTCTGAGGGAGCCCAAATATATCAGCCACCTCAGGCAGGTGAGCTTCGCTCTCACCGCTCAGCTCAGCTCAGCTCTGCTCCAGCCTCACCTTCCTCTCCTGGGCAGGTGAGGCCTGAATGGCAGATGTTTTTTAAGCCCATCTCCTCAAGCTCCTCCCCCGCCCCAGGTTCTCCTGGAGAAGGTGCGTGAGGAACGCGTGTAGCAAGGGACCCCACTAGCTGGGATGAGGGTGGGGATTAGAGAAAGGAGAAGAGAGGGAGCAGCTACCAGGTCATGACCCTGTGAATCCTAAGGCTTTCCTGTCAGGCTGGGCTGCCAAGGTGTTCCTGGCCCTGTGTCAGAAGGTTCCCAGAAAGCACCACAGTGGAACAAAAAGGCAGTGTGTTGAGCTGAGGGGACTTTGAGACAAGTTCAGGAGTTTGAGTCAGGAGGTGGCAGAGAGAGCAGAATGAGGGGGCAAAGAAGAGGAGGAGAAGGAATTTGGCAGGAATTTGGCAAGCTGAGCACAGGAAGCCAGGCAACAACTAACTCACAACTTTTGCCTTTTTAGGTTCGAACCATCTAACTGTGGGCCGAGATGGGTCCATGGGCTGAGATGGGGGTTTGGGTAACAGGCCAGCCACCTCCCCTGCATCAGCTCTGGGCAGCAGCGGCCTTTCTCCCCAGCAGCTCCTTCCTGTCACCTCCAATCTGTTCCCCTGAGTTACCTCCCTCACCCCAAGTGTTCTGGAGGGCTTCCCTTTGGGAACTTCCTGACTATATATGTGTGATGGCCGTCTTTTCAGAGCCCAGGACTGCAATACCTGCTCTGACAGGCTTGCGTTTGTGTGTGAGCAAAGCAGGACAGAATACTGAAATCCCCCTGCCCAGTCCCCTCTGAAAATGGGTCTTAAAGGAATGTTTCTTGGGTCAGGGTGTGGGTTTGGCCTGGCCTGGGTGACTCCCAGAAGAGGCGCCTCTCTCTTATCCAGAGCTTTGGGGAAACTGAGGCCAGGAGGGTGTGTTGAGTTAGGAAAGAAGCTAAAATCTGAAGGCCGAGCCCCTCAGAGGAACATGAGAATGGGTCGGCGTGGAGTTTGGCAGGAGGGGGTAGTTCGACACAGTGGTCCCGGGCAGCCTTGTGTGCTGGGAGGGCCCCCGGGAGAGCTGGCTCGGCTGAAGGGTCAGACTCTGATGGGCAGATCTGAAACAGAGCATGGGGTTTTCTGAGGCCCTTTGAAGGCAGTTACTGAAACAGTTCACTATGGAAACGAAATGCTTGCCATTTTAGACTTTAAGGTTCCTAGGGGATACATATATGCATGTGTGCATGTGTGCACTCAGGAGAGAAGGTGAGAGAGAGAGAACGAGATTGATCTTATGGGCTACAACTGTCAGAATTCTGCTGTCACTAAACTAATTGATTTCAGCTCTCACAGTTCAGAACGAGGCTCGTCCTCTTGGCTGCGTCCACGCTCCTTTCGCATGTTGCTCTGAGCACATCCACTGCATCTCATTCGTTCCCTGACCAACAGAAGCTTGGCACGAACCTCGCTCCATATGCTTCACATGATTTGATACTCATGATAACCTCCCTCTCTTGCCTTCTCTTAAAATCTCAAACTCACCCTCTCATCTGAGAGCCCCTTGGCACCCATGTGAGAAAGAAGAGCTGTTTCGTTAGCAGTGACTGCCTATGCTGCCTGTGCCCACCACTCAGGGTGCATTGGCATCGTGTGGGAAGAGGCCTCAGGTAGCGCATTGACTAAGTGATTTACCGCAGCCCCAGTGGCCTGAGGGGAGCGTTAGCGGGTAGATGCCCATTTCTAAGAAACACCCAGGGGGTTTCCTGTTTCATCTCTCAGGAATCCCCACGCGAGTGTGAAGCACAATGGTTCCTAGACTTTTCTTCCTGCGACCCCCTTCTCCACAGGAGCTGCACTCCTGCATCTGTCCCTCCAAGTCTAAGGCTGTGGGCCTCGGGGCCTCAGATTATCTCTGACATCTTCCTCCCACTGCATTTATAGAGTTGGTGCTTCACTCACAACCTCCTCTTTTCGCGGTGAAATAAGGTAATAACCACTCTGTAATAAAGAGCGTGTTCTTTCTTTGGTAGGCTTGACGCCAGCGAACCATAAAAGAACTGTGTCACCTCCACGGGAAGCTTCTCCTTCCGTTTCTCTTTCCTCGTTGTCTTCTGCCTCGTCTTCCCCAGCATCCTCCTTAGGCAGCATTGCAGGCAGCGCTCTGGACGGTTCCTTGCTGCCCCAGGTAAGCAGCCCGCGGGGCCCCGCACAGGGGTTAGGAAAGTGAGTGCCTCTACTCCCCCCCCACTTCAGCACTTAACTCCAGTTTCTCAGCGCTATTAGGTCACCCCACGTGCAAAGCCAGTGCCTCCTTCTGAGTCCCTTTCCCAGAGCTCACCCTGCTCCTTCCCCAAGGATGCTGAGGGCGGGCCCAGACCCGAGGGTGCTTTTGAGAGGAGCTGAGAATGTTGGAAGCAGAATTTCCCTTGAATAGAAAATGGTATCTGTGAGAAATGCAAGGTTGGGCTCTTTCCTTTAACATAAGTTTATCAGGCCTCTGGGACCTGCCAGACCCCGCTCTGGGCTCTGGGAAGGAGACAGAAGAGCACATGCTCTTCTGAAGCTTCTGTCCCGTGACCTGCCCTTCAGACAGGGCTCTGGGCGGGGCACAGCCACGCCATGTAGAGTCCACCTGTCATCTTCCTTTGCCAAGGGCCAAGTTCCTGCAAACTAGAAACAGTTGCTATCTCAGCGGTGTGAGCATGAGTCAGGTGTAGAAAAATCCTGGGAAGGTCGTAACGGCCATTCTGCCACCACTGCTCTAGCCCAGGAGGCTCCAACGAAGAAGCCTTTGTTCCTCGGTCGTTGGAGGAACAAACCTGTAGGTGGAGCGTGCCTGCTAGTAGGGACCATGGCCGGGCGAGCCATGCAGATCTGTCCTCCCCTATGTGCTTAACCACCCAATGGGGCCAGGCCAGCCCCACCGTTGCTGCCCCGGAGCTCGTCAGTATCTTCGTCTTAACCTTCTGGTTTCCTACCCACCTAACCCAAGACCGAGAAAAGCCTTTGATCAACACTGATACAGGGGCTCCGGCAGATCCCAGCAAGCCCTAAGGTAGATGTGTGAATGAAAGGCTGCCCTCTGAAATCATCCTCGGCAGAATCCTTTTTGACTTTGGGTATCTGAGATCTTGAGAGAGGGAGCGAGGGGACTACGGACTGAGATATACCTTCCTCATATAAATAAGTGCTAGGAACTTCCAAGTCACTGCTATTTTTTCCCCAGCAGGTCTCAAGAGGCCATTTCAGTCCTTCCACCCCAATCTTTCTGAGGCGAGCCAGAGCCCAAGAAGCACCCAGAGGAATCCCCCTATATCTGCCTCACGGCCAAGTGCTAGAGCGGGCAGAATACTGCCTGGCGAGGCCTGGTGCAGATGGCCTTGCAGGCCTCAGGCCACCCAGCCCTGCAGAGATGGCTTCTGATGGCTGTCAGGACACCAGAAGCACCCACAGAGGCCCATATGCCATTGCAGGGAAAGACAGGTGCTTGCCAGACCAAGGGCGGTCTCCCAGGCCTGGAGAGAACTCAGGAGGAGGGAATGCTAATTCCCAGGGTGGAGAGGAGAGCAGGTCAGAGCTGGCAGAGGGGAAGAAGTGGGGCTTAAAGAAGCTGGCCCTCACTCAGGAGCAGAAGAGCAGGTTGCTGGATTGGAATGACTTCAACCCCCAGAACTTGCGCCTGGAAGGTGGGCCGCAACTTTCCCAGAAAAGTGCTGAGAACGGCAGGGGCGGCCGTGTGCTGAAACCAATCTGCCCCTTGGTGCTCCCTCGGTCAGGGAGAGAGGCCCTGCCAGCCCAGGCGGAGGCTCAGGAAAAGAAGGGGACCCCAGCTGAAAGGACTCCAGGAGAGCGAAGCGTGGCTCCCCCCAAGTCCCCGCTGAGGCTCATTGCCAATGCCATCCGAAGGTCGCTGGAGCCCCTCCTCCCCAACTCCGAAGGTGGGAGGAAGCCCTGGGCCAGGCCAGAATCAATGGCTTTGCCCACCAGCCAGCCACAAGCTTGCTCCTGTTCATTCAGCCTTCGGAAGACCAGCTCCAGTAAGGATGGGGACCAGCCGTCCCCGGGGAGAGACATGGCGAGCAGGGCCTCAGCCTTCTTCTCCCTGGGCACCCTGCCCACCAGAGCTGCCCAGATGTCTGCCCCTGGCCTTCCTCACCCTGCCCTCCGCGCCCGTAGTTTGCCCAACCGGTCTTCCAAGATGTTTCCTGCATTCGCGTCCCCACCCTGCAACAAGATGGAAGATGTCCCCACGCTCCTGGAGAAAGTGAGTTTGCAAGAGACTTTCCCAGATGCTTCCAGGAGTCCAAAGAGAAAAGTCTCACTCTTTTCTGCTCTCGGACTCAAAGACAAATCTTTTGAGAGTCCCCTCCAAGAATCCAGACAAAGAAAGGACCTCCGTGACCTCTTTAGCATCCCCAAGGGGAAGGTGCTGCCTGTGGACAGTGCCCAGCCCCGGGAGAGGCGGGGGCTGCCTGTCAGTTACCCAGGGCAGAGGGTCCATCCTCCTTCTCCAGAGCGAGATGCAAGTAAGTGGCTCTTTCCTAACCAAAGGTTACAGTCCATGCCGGGCACTTAGTTACCGTTAGTGGATTCATAAACGGGCATCTTTTACACCACTTTGCTTCTCAAATTATTTCTGGCAAAAGTAGAAAAACTTGAATTTGAACAATATGAAAAAATCAAATTTGAAATTATGCTATAGAAAGTTTTGAAAGAGACAGTTAACCGTAACTTCACCATTTTCCCACTCATTGTTCATAAATAAATATTTTTTACTAAGCTGTACATTAAATATTGTGTCTTTTTAAATCAACATATTATAAGTATTAAGCCAATTACCTCATACACTACATAAATATGATTTAATGGATATAGAATAGTCTATCTAGTGACTGTGTTATTTAATGAACTGATTTTTATGGTTAAACTTACAGATATATATGTCTCTATAAATTAAATATACGAATATACTTATATTTTATATATGGTCTTGGGTGGACATTTTTATGCATATAGCTTTTCCTTTCCTTTGAATTATATTTTTAGGAGAGGTTCCAAGAAATGTGATTTCTGGATGAAAATGTGAATATTTTTAAGATTCTCAACTTACACTGACAAATTGCCCTTTAAAAGAGAGCACTGTGGGTAAAGGATACACGGGATCTCTCTGTGTTATTTCTTACAACTGCACGTTGTAAATTTCAATTAAAACATGGAAAGGTACCAATTTATATTCTACCACTAATGTATGAAGGTACCTTTTCCCCCATACTTTTCATTAAGTATCATAGTGTTTAAATTACTATTTTACCAGCCAAAAAAATGGTGCCTCAAAATAATATTGAATGTAAATTGTAATTGGAAAAAAAAATTTTTTAATGGTGCCTCTTTTAAACTTGTATGTTTTCAATTACTAGCTTAGCCATGTTTACTTATATTTGCTTACCATTTGAAACTTAGGCTTTTTGTGTTTAAATGTGTTTATAATTTTTAAATTATAAATTAATTAGTACATTAAAGAATCAGAATAATTCAATAATTTTTAAGTATCTAAAAAAAAGTTACACATATTCTCTCTCTCACCGCTCCTCCCCACCCCTACCAAAGTTTTGGTGTGTATATATGCTTAGAGACCATTTAGTTAAACATTCACGTGATTTGTTTTTTGTTGTCAATATTTGTTTGATTACTTTAAACAAACTATGATTCTACTATTCCTATTGTTGAGCACCTTTGTTTTTTTTTGTTTTTTGATGTTTCATTTTCTTATTTAACTTTTATTGTAGAACCTAGGTTTTTAAGCAAAAAATTATTTTTCTCCTTTGGTGCCTTAGTCAAAAAACTATGTAGATTAACAAGAGCTTTTATTTCCAGCCAATTTCAGTGTAAGCATGCACAGGCTGGAATATAACTACAGCCTCTATATCACTTTGTAAACTCTAATGTGTTGTACATTTTTTGATAGATAATACATTCACATGGTTCAAAATAAAAAGGTACAAAAGGCACAGAACGTCCTATCTTCCTTCCTTGTCCCCGGGCCATCCAGGTCCCATTCCTTATGCCAGATACTGTTATCAGGTTCTTAGGCTTTCTCCCAGACAGAATTTGTGAATACACAGCAAATTTCCATATTTTTCTTTTTTCACAAATAGTAGCATGCTAGCATGTTGTGCAGACTTTTTTCTACTTTTAATTTTATTTTGGTGATCATTCCATATTAGTATCAAGAGAGCTTTCTGCTTTGTTTCATAGCCGCATGGTATTCCATTTTGTGTGTATGCCATAGTTCAAGTAGCCAGTCTTCCATGATGGAAAGTTTGTTATTTTAAATCTTTGCTATTGCAAACAGTACACAATAATTAAGAACTTAGGCCATTTGGCATATGTGTGTGAATTTCTCTGTAGGATAAATGCCTAGAAATGGAAATGCTAGAACAAAGAATACGTGAATTGAGAATTTTGATAGCTATTGTCAAATTATCCTCCATCAAAGGGGTGCCGGTGCACACTCCCAGTAGCAAAGTATGAAGAGTACTGCTTCTGTACACTACTAACCAGCTTGTTACCTAACCTTTTTTTTTTTAATCTTCACCAATTTGATAGGTTATTAAACATATTTTCTTTTAATTTTGTTTATTGATTTTTAGAGAGAGAGGAAGGGGTAGAAAGAGAAAGAAACATTGATTTGTTGTTCCACTTATGCATGTACTCATTGGTTGATTCTTGTATGTGCCCTGACCAGGGATCGAACCCACAACCTTGGATTTATCAGGACAGTGCTCTAATCAACTGTGTTACCTGACCAGGGCAAGCATATTTTCATAGTCATTTATATTTTTTCTGTGAACTATTGTTTTTGTTCTTTATCTAGTTTTCTGTTGGGTTGTTGGTATTTTTCGTAAGGATTTGTAGGGACTATTCTAAAAGGGAAATTTAGCTCTTTCTTGTGCAATGTGAATTACAAATACTTCTCCCAGTGTTTTGTTAGTATTTAACATTATTTACGGTGGTTTTTGTCATATAAAAGTTTTATTTTTATATGGTAGTTGTAAGCAATTTATCATTTTATGGTTTTTGGGCTTTATATAGTAGTTCAAAAAAAGCTTCATCCAAGTTTATCGAAGACTTTTCTTATAGTTTCTTTTAGCCTTTTATTTGTTTGTAATGTTTTTACATTTAAATATTTACATTTTTTCCTAGTATAAAATATAAGATATGGATCCGACCTTTTTAAGGTATCTCCCCAGTTACTTTTACATAATTTAGTGAATAATTCATCTTTTTCCTCCCTTATGTGAGATGACACCTTTATCATATATCAAATTCTGGTATTTGGATTGATTTCCACACAATTTATTATATTCTATTGAATTGTCTTTTATGTATCAGTACCACACTGTTTTAATTATTTTACATTATATGTATTTTAAAATTTGTGTATTATACTATCAGATAGAAAGAGTATTCCATTATTGGTCTCTTTTTATAATTTCCTGGTTCTTCTTGCTTGTTCAATATTCTATGTGAATTTAGCCTTAGCCTGTCTATGTTCCAAAAAGAAAAATCCTATGAATAGTTTTATGGGATTGAGTTAAGTTTACAAACTAACTTGAAAGAATTTATGACCTTATGATATGAATTGACTTTTTATTTGTTCCTGTCTTTTATTGTGATCCTCAGGAATATTCTAAACTTTATATTAAATAGCTTTTACATATTTATTGTTAAGTTTATTACTGGATATGTTTATTTTTTGCTATTATACATAAAATATTTCCATTTTATTTTGCTACTATTGGTTGTATACATGAAAGTTATTGATTTCTATATAGTAATTTTGTACCCATCTATTTTATTGAATTCTTTTCGCTTGTAAAATTTTTCAGCAAATTCTCCTGGGTCCTCCCCAAAATATACAATCATAACATGTGCAAGTAATGACAATTTTACCTCTTGCTTTGAAGTTGTGTGCCTCTAGTTTATTTTGTTCCCTTAGTTTCTTTGGTTTCCAGAATCTCCAGAAACAATATTAAATAAAAATAGCGATAACGGTTTTTTCATTACATTCCCAACTTTAATGAGAATGCATCTCATGAATGACAGTAATGTTTTCTCATTTAAGCATGATGCTGCCTCCTGGGTTGACCCAGATATATTTAATCATTTTAAGAAAATAGCCATCTCATCGAATTTTATTAAAAGTACAGTTGACCCTTGAACAACATGGGTCTAACTATGCAGGTTCACTTACATGCAGGCTTTTTCTGTTGATCCAAGCAGTTCACACCCGTGTTGTTTGAGGGTCACCTGGTGAATGGAACTCCAAGCATGGGAGGGCCAACTTAAGTTAGATGCCAAATTTCCACTGGGTAGGAAGGTGGTGGGCGCCCCTACCAGGGTCAACTATATTTTTCATCACAAACGGATGTTGAATTTTATCAAATATCTTTTTAGCACATTTTGAGATGGTTGTGTAAATTTTTTCTTATTTTGATTGATATGAATTTTATAATAGAGTTATTGATATTGAACTATCCTTGAATTGCTGAAGTAAGTACCGCTTGGTCATGATGTTTCATTGTTCCAACATGCTTTTCTGTACTGTTTCCTAATATTTTAAGGCTTTGTATCAAATTCATAGGTAAGATTAGCCTTTAGTTCATTTGCTATCACATATATATGACTTCTGTTTACACTCATTACAGCAAGTTGGGGTACATGTGTTTTCCTGATTTCGTTATGGACAGCTGGTTGCATTTGTTTATATTCATTAGGAAATCCTGTGAGTTCCTTGGCTTGGACAGAATGGGAATGTAGAGAATGGAATTAGGATAAGGCTGGCCAGCCAGCTCTGGAAATAGTGCCTGGGCCCATCTCATAGAAAATCTTTGTTTCTCTCAGATGATTTTAGGTCAACATCCTAATAATGTTAGATTTTTACCTACCCTGTTGGATTAAACCCATTAGTTTCTTTTTATTTCCCTACCGTCACCAACCCGCCAAAGGCATGGACACACAGACACTGCTCTCTCCACATTTAACTTGTACACTTCCATGCAATGGAGAGAAAAAACTATTCAAACAGAAAGTGAGAAACTTTCAAAAGTCATTCAAATTGAAGTACCTTGAATTTATGATCCCTTAAATAAGAGCCAGCTGAAATTTAATTTTTCTTATTTTTTACAACACAACTTTCTATTAATATTATACATAAACTCAAGGTATTTAAATTACTTAGGAATATATACTTATTTCAAATACCTACCAGTGCCCATTTTATATAATTTTAATGCTCTTATTATTCTTATATATAATTAAAGAAGGTACCCTGAGAACATCTCTTTTTTTATTTTTGCATAAACATTTTTACTACAGTATCAATGTAACATGCATACAATAAAGTACACAAATATTAAGTACAGCAGGGAAGGATTTTTACAAAGTGCTTATTTCTGTAATCACTTCTGCGATGGAGATTGCCAGCCCTCAAGCCTCGCTCATGGTTCTTCCCAAATACAAGTGC